CAGTTCCCTTGCAAAGACTTCTAGATAGGGGGAGAAAACAAATTTAGCCATTATTTTAGAAAAATATTGGGTTGTCTCTCTTAGATACAGGTGGGCATTACAGTATTGCAGACCAAGATTTGAAATCTTACATCTGAGCAATACTTTCTGATTAAAAACAAAATCATCAATGAGAAATAATTGTCTAAATAACTTTTTATATGGACTTAAGCCTAATATCTGGGAAGCGTAATCCCCTTGAGCTCTTAAACAAATACACTGATCCCTTTAATCTTTGGTTATACTTTCCTTTTGAGTGTTTAAGATCATGCAGTTGGCCCAGATAAACCAATTTATTTTTACTCTTAAGGTCATTTGAGGATCTGTTCCTCAGGGGTCACATGGGCTTAGGAGTAGCCCCTGGCTCCTTTCCTCTACCAGGTCCATCTATGTGAAGGTAAGTCAAAGGTCCTGCTCAACGTGGATGGCTTCACTTGGAAGCATGAATGAAATGTTTCATCTGTGTTGGCCCTCCTCTTTGTAGACTGGACACTGGTTCAAGTCCACCTGGTAGGGTCTCCACAGCCTCCTTGATCAAGAGGACAGGTGACTCACTACAGTTACAGGACATTTTGAGAGATGTTCCATAGTCCCCTGGAACTTAGTCGACCTTGGAGGGCAAGGAGCAAAAACTGTCCTTTAAGTCCCTCTAACCAAATTAGTATAGGCCTCAAAGCAAGGCTATTAAACATCCAAGAACATTAGTTCCACCAGTCTGGCACTCTTAATTACCAGATTGTATGTGCTATGGTAGATAAAGCTTGGGCAACGATATATAAACTTTTAAGTTTATCATGCATGGCCAAAGGTTTTATGTGATAATTAAGCTTGAAATGTCTAAAATCCCATACTTCCCACATGCTCCACAATAAACAAGATCTGCACAGATGTTACACAAAATATAATCACAGTATATAGCTAATAATCACATGTATTAGTTTACATATTTATCACATTAATAGTGCTAATTTTATAACTACCTTTCGTTGTGAGAATTTCTGCAAGCATTATACGTAAACTTTGAGACTGGATATCCTTTGAAGGGAGAAGACAAAACACAAGAACCCGAGAGCACGTTTGGAGAAATCTTACTTCATCATGTGAGTTCTTCAAGCTTGCATGCAACACAAAAGGCCTTGGCTGCTCTTCATGTCTGAAAGAATAAAAAAATGGAAAAATAATTCAAGTACATAACATTAGGTAAAAAGCATTCCAAATATGGGCGACAAGTTGGTCTTAATAGTTGTTTTCTTCTCACTCAGATAACATCAATAATCAAAAATGCCCTTAATCATGGAATAGTTGAGAACTTCTGCTGGAATAAATGCGAATGAGGGTCTCTTAGAATTCCAAATGAATTCATAACTACCTTAAGTAGCATCAAAGATAACTCCTAAATATTAGCAACAATTCAAAAATTATGCGTACTTCTTACACAAGATGGCCTTCAAGTTTTCCAGATGTCTTTTGTTTAAAAAACATTTTATTTTTATTTTATGTGTATGAGTGTATTGCCTACATGTATGTGAATGTACCTGAATTGTGCAATGCTTGTGGAGGTCAGAAGAGGGCATCAATTCTCCTGGAAATGGAGTTACAGACAGTAGTTAACGGCTCTGTGGGTGCTGGGAATCAAACCCTGGTCCTCTGCAATAGAAGCCAGTGCTCTTAACCACTAAACAATCTCTCCAGCACCCCCCCCATGTCTTTTTAAATGTGATATATTGCTTCATTTTAAAAACACCACTAATAAAGCATAAACCAGTGTCACAACTACTTTTGTTGATGAGGAAATCATAGGATAGTAAGTCTGGATTATTTCTACAGAAAAGAGGGTCTGTCAATGCTCCAAAATTTGATGGCAAATTGCATCTGGGAGACACCCCGCCCAGAACTTTTAAAAATAATTTTACTTATAATTTTTATTTTGTGCTTATGAGTATATTGCCTGCATGTGTGTAAGTGCACCCATGTTGTGCAGTGCCCTTTGTGGAGGTCAGGATAAGGCATTGTATTCCCCTGGAACTGGAGTTAAGGACGGTTGCCACCATGTGGGTGCTGGGACTCAAACCCAGGTCTCTGCAAGAACAGTCAGCTCTGCTCTTAACCACTAAGCCATCTCTCCAGCCCCCCCAAGTACTTTCTAGCCTTGGTCATGTATTCTCATTCTAGCACTAAACCCATCTGGACCACTAATTTGGAAGAGTTGAGTGAACAGGCATGGAAACAAATTCTAGTCTTGTCTTTTCCATAGCATTTTGGGGTGTTAATTTTTCTGCTATCTTCTATTATTATATTATAAAAGGTAAAGTATGAAAAAGATTCCTATAGCAACTAACCAATGCTGAGAAAATGCCCTGAACAAAACACAGGAAACATATTAAGTACTACACAGGAAATGAAACATGAAAATGCATGCTGATATCTTTATGACTAATGCTTCTTGGGAGTGTACTGTGATTTCTTTTTACACTAGAGATTAAAAAGCAACTAGAATATGTACATCGAAGAAAAAACCAATTTCCTTGTTTCTTATAACAAGTTAACAACAATTCTATCCTACAATATAAAGTCAAAAACATGAAAAGACATTTTAAGAGCAAGCCTTAATGCATACACTGACGTTTGCTGACATTTATTTACTTTTTATTTATTTATTTATTTACTTACTTACTTACTCTTTTAGACAAGTTTTCATGTAACCCAGGCTGGCCTTGAATTCACTGTACAGCAATATGACTGTACAGTGGATGACTTTGAACTCCTGATCCTCCTGTCTTCACCTTCCAGGTGCTGGGATTAAGGGATGAAATATCATGCCCTGTTTATATGGTGCTATGGATCAAACCCAGGGCTTCATGCTTGCTAGGCAAACATTCTACTACACTACAGCCCCATCTCTGTGTTGACTTTTTAAATATTGCTAAAGGTAGGCATGGTGGTACATATCTATAATCCCAGAACTTAGAAGGTGAAAACAAGAGGATCAGTAGTTCCAGGCCAGTCTAGGCTATAAGACTCTGCCTCAAAAAAACAGAAAACCAACAACAGCAGTTAAGAGCGCTTGCTACTCTTGCAGAGGACCCTGCTTCCATTTCTAGCAACCACATGGTGGTTAACAACCACTTGTAAACTACAGTTCTGGGGATCCAGAAGCCCTCCTCTAGTCTCTGAGGGCACCAAGTATGTACGTGGTATACATACACACATGCAAGCAAAACATTCATACACATAAAATAAAAATAAACAAAAATGGAACCAGGCCTTGGGATCATGTGTTCAAGGTCTACAAGGGCCAAAGAATGAGGCCAAGACCTATCTTTTTATGAAGACCCTGTGAAAAAAAAGTGATGGGGAAAAGGGTGGCCTGCCTCTTTAGCTCAGTGGTAGAGCACTAATATAGTACACTGAGATGCTAGGTTTGATCCCCAGCACCTCCTCCCCCAAGCACCTTCCTTTATTTTAAACTATAGCTATGCTATCAGCTAGAACTGATAACTCAATACAGTGAAGACTAAGATTTGTATTTGTGTGTGTGTGTGTGTGTGTGTGTGTGTGTGTCAGGGTTTCCCTGTAGCCTCAGTTAGACTAGAACTCACTATGTAGACCAGGCTGTCCTCGGTCTCAAGAGATCCACCCTCCTCTGCTTCTTGAGTGCTAGACCACATTGCCCAGAACAAGACTAAGATTTTGATAATACTTCTAGAAGGAGGTTGGCCAAAAGAAAACTTACCTTTACAAAAGAAGCATCTTTAAATAATATCAAGCCTATACATCAGCTGGGGCCTGTCTGGTCATGAGAATGTCATAAATTCCCCACCCTTCTAAATTAGGAGAAAATTGTGTGAGCCAAAGTAGAGAGTGGGCTGGTCAAGCAAGCTTGCTGTACAGAAAATTTCCCAGAAGGACTCCTCTAGAATTCCTCTGAAAACTCTGAGCAGGACATTTCTACAGTGTCCTTTAGAAAGTAGATATCAGATATAGCTTTAGAAGCCAAGAAAGAGAGTTGGAGACGGCTCAGCAGTTAAAAGCACTGGCTATTCTTGCAGACAACCTGGGTTCAATTTCCAGCACCCATATAGTGGCTTACAACCATCCCTAACTCTAGTTCCAGGGGAATCTGATGCCCTCTTTTGATCTCCACAGGCACTGCATGACACAAGTGTACTTACATACATGCAGGTAATACACTCATACACATAAAATTAAAAAATAATAAAATATTTTTTACAAAGAAGCCAAGTGGCTACTGGGAGTCCAAAGTGTCCACCAAGTCTTCTGGTATATTATAATGCAAGTCTGTGCTGCAAGCTTCTGCCAGTGTGGATCAACCATTTGTTCACTGTGATTCCCACCAATTACTTCTGGTTCTTGTTTTTTGAGTGAGCAAAAAGACATTAACTTTTTTATAAAAATATTTTATCACTTTTATTTTATGTGTATGAGTGTATTGCCTACATGTATATAAGTGCATTTGTGTCATGCAGTGCCCACAGTCAAACGAGAGCATCAAATTCCCCTGGAAATGGAGTTATGAATGATTGTTAGCCACCATGGATGTATTGGGAATTGAACCTGGGTCCTCTGCAAGAGCAGCCAGCGCTCTTAACTCTGGGCCATCTCTCCAGTCCCAAGACATTAACTTTTTAAGTTTCACCTATTATTATTTCGTTCTCCCACCTACACCAAGAAGTAGATATAATACTACCATTTTATAGATGAGAGAATGAAGATCTGGATGATCATAAATGAATAAAGTCATGGAAATAATAAATGGTAGAAATAACTCTTCAGTTTCATCTGGTTCACTGTCAAGTAGACTCTGCACTACACTATAATCAGAGATTGCAAAGGAGTAGAAAAACATGTCAGAAATAGAGAAAGAAAATATGTGAATAAAGACTTTTTCTTCCTCAGACAGCATACCTATACTTGACAGGCAAACAAACAGATTGTAAGGAGACTATGAAATTAAAAATGCTACTGAATTAACAGTATGAGAGCGATCATTTTTAGATTTTCTGAACCATGCTGAAATAAGACAGATGGGGGACAAAGGAAGAGTGAGGAGAGCAAGCCTAAATGTGACCTGAACTGGTTTACAGCAGCAACAGATTGACAAGCTAGAAATAAACACAGGCTGACCGGAAAGCTGCTCCAAGGACTGCCTAACAATCTAACCAGAGGAAACCTTGCTTTTATGAATGCAATTTATTATTCTTCTGTCTGATAGTCACCAATTCAATTCGGTGCTCCCCAGGCCACCTAAGTCATTCTATAGCCCAGGGAGACATGTATGTACACCAGTGAAATTTCCAAGGCCATCAGACAGGCATATAACCATCAAACCTAAGCTCACTATTGGCCAGCCTTACTGTGTGGTTTAAGATGGTATACAGATAATATTTCTCCAGAGCAAATCATCCATATGCAAAATATTAGTGATTAACTGGCATTTTTTCAACTATTCATAACTATAGAGAATCAGTAGTTTTTTTAATTTTATTGTTACTTTTGTATCATCAACCAGAGAAACCAGAGGATATGGCTCAGTTGGTAGAATGTTTGACCTCTTTTGGCCTCCGTGGGCACTGTACCCCCAGGTACACTTACAAACATGCAGGCAAAACACTCATACACATAAAATAAAAATAAGCAAATAAGGGCTGGAGAGATGGTTCAGTGGTTAAGAGCACATCCTGCTCTTCCAGAAGACCTGAGTTCAATTCCCAACACCTGTCGGAGCTGCTAACAGCAACCTGTAACTCCAGCACTGTGTTCACGTACACAACCACCACCACCACATACACATATATACACATAATTTAAATAATTAGTAGAGGTGATAAACATTACCACTGAAATCTACCCAATGACTTTATAGACATACACAGGCGCCAAGGATCCAAGCGCAACCAATTATGACTAGTAATAGATAAATACAGATTAGTGATGCATGTGCCAACATATCAGTGCTGGTAGCAAAGACAATGAGTCTTTCTGCAAGGAACAATATAGCCTAAAATGAAATGGAGATCTTTTTTAAAGGTTAAAAACTCATTCAATT